AGTATTGCATTTTGCGTTTTCTTGTGAGTGAAATGAATCAATATATCTCAAGGTAACTTGTTCTTGAATGCAGAACTTGCATTCACTCTAAATATCTGGTCAATATTGGGAAAGTCTCCTTGTATCTTCAAATAATTTTGAAGTAAATCACGAAAGCTCTCTTCCAAATTTTGCCTCCCAAAGTCTTCTGAGATCTTTTTAAAGAACCCCTTGTTTGCATATCTAAAGATTAATCCCTTGGGTATTAGCCATGTGTGGGAGCCATTGTGCTTTTGTAGAAATAAAACCAAGTCTCTGTATTTCCTTCTTATCTCAAATGGAATGTCATTCAGTACTCTTATGTCTTTGTCTTTTATCTTCAAGGTCGCTCCATTAGATGCTTTCAATAGTTGATCTCTCACTTTTCTTTGAGAGAATCTTATTGTAACATCCCCTGGTAGATTATTCTTTCTGATAAATTCTGTATACGATCTATGGACCGTATCAATTTCGCTTTGAAGTTGATCCGATGTCATCTCTGTCAAGGGAGCTAATACATCACCAACAATCTGTCTCAGATTCTCTCCTTTCTCTTCTTGGACACCTTGAAGTCTCAAGACATAGCTTGCCCTTTCCATTTGCAGCTGTAATACTCGAGACTCTTCGATTTGGCATTTCCCCCCAATGCCTGTAGTTTTTTATTCATCTTTTTTGAGTTGGTATCAATCTCTTTAAGTTCTTGCTCCGTTTTTTCGATTTTCTGTGTATTTGCAGCCATTTGTGCTTGTTGTGTATCGAGTTTATTGTCAATTGCCGTAATTTTCTTCAGTAGGGGGCGAAGTGCTTCCGACAACAACCTTTGGAGTTCCGCAGTTGGGTCCTGTCTAGGCACAGAACTCGCAGGGCTGGAACTTCCAGGAAGAAGCTTTGTTTTTGCTTGTTTGTCTCTCTGGTCCTTCAAAGGCAGCGCCATGTTTGAGAGTTGTTTACTTTTATTAAAAGTTTGTCAAAGTCTCTGGAAGTTCTTATATCACGTGGTAAGCTCTTACAGTCTCTTTATTTTAATCCATTCACGTTTGTAGTTCCCCCCCTTTTCTGGCTTAAAATCGCATGTAAACAGTTCTTAGCGGAGCAGAGTCCCCTCCACCCCTCGTTTTCTTTCGAGAGGGTCGTGCGGTTTTTTGTTGTTCTCGCTTGTACTTAAACTCACATTTTCAACGATTGTTCGCTTGTGTCTGAAATCGCTTGATCACCAAACGCTTGCTCCGGTGTGCTGATCTTGTTCCCATACGGGACGCTCCACAGCAGGACCTTCGGGGCTTGGAGTAGCCCCCCCTCACCTGCTTATCTCTCCGGAGGGGGGCTCTCTAGTGCCCCATGGCTTGGAGCCCTTCACTTGGGCTCCTGGGGTGGCGTGGACGATCGCGCCCCCTCCCGGCTTCTCCCGGAGGTCCAGGGAAAAGCAATTGCCATGGTGATCACCAAGACCGGATGGACGGCGGCAACTTCTGAGAGGCAGCATTGGAGTGAGCTGGAGTATTCCCTTTTGTGCCTGTAGAAATAAGTGGCTCAATGGTTGTGTTGCGAAAAACTCACGTAGGAAAGATCCCTTTTGACTTTAAATAAGCTTTTTGCTTAAGAATTAAGTTAGGTAGTTTTGAACTGTTGAATGATAGGAGGACTCTTTGAGTTGAAAGTAGATTGTTCAATGTTCCACTGATCTTATATCCATGGATCCTATTTGGGGTCCAAACAAATCATACAGGTCTTCTAGCCAGGGTAGGAATCTTCCAGGACAGAAAATCTCCTTTAAATTTACATACAGTCAAACATATTAGATAAGGTTGCCAAATCAGCTGCCATGATCCTTGTATGTCATGATCTCCTGTATGCAAAGCAAATGCTCGACCTAGGAGCTATCTACAAGAGGCTGCAGTCTTTACTGGGCCCCTTTCTGTAGATAATGTATGGCTCATACTCCTCCCTTGCTAATCTCACATACCTTTTGCTGGTGTTGCCATTTTCAAGATGGGTACAACATGGATGGGTATTACATCAAACCTGGATGGAACACCCAAATTATCACTTTCAGAAGAGTGTCTGTGCATGCCCCTCCAGTATCACTCTCTAGAACCAGTTTCACATATTCAGGTGTAGCATACTTTATAGCCCTATACAGCCAACTCTGCCTGGAGCATCGTTCTAGCTGCAGAGGGCTTTAGAGTCAATCCTGCTATTCTGATGTAGATTAAATATTTAGCAATCCTGCAATACTTGCCATTTGATGTTTATTGCACACCAAAATGCTACTATAGTTACAGTATAAACAGAGCAAGAGAGCCTATGCTTTGGATGGGCTGATTAGCTGCGTGTTAACAGGTTGGGAAGATGTAAACATACCAACTGGTGTGAAATACATGATACTCCCCAGATTGTCAGGTTCTCTGGAATTTCCTGGGGCCAATGCCCCTCCCCACCTGCCAGGTAGCATCATGAAGCTGCTAAGTCTGTCAGGTTCTCAAGCTTAGTCTAGTGGTTAAGAGCAGCAGACTGTAATCTGGAGAACCAGGTTTGATTCTCCACTCTTCCACATAAAGCCAGCCGGGTGACCTTGGGTCAGTCACAATTCTCACAGAACTCTTTCAGCCTCACCTACCTCACAGGGTGTCTGTTGTGGGGAAAGGAGGGAAGGTGCTTGTAAGCCACTCCAATACTCCTCCAGGTAGTGAAGAGCGGGGTATAAAACCTACTCTCTTCTCCTCCTCCCCCTCCTCCATCCTGTTTGACTCTGTAGCGACTTAACAAGTTCCTAGGAGGCACAGGGCTAGGTTGTTTTATATATATATCAGCAATCAGAAGGTCTCAGTGGCTGGACTGAAGAATGCATTTCCTGAAGTCTGCAGCACAAACTCTGATGTAAGTAAGAGATCAAGGGAATTATGGTTTGCCTCCACATATGGGATATAAATAATTCCATTATTACTGTGTCATGGTGGGCCCTACCTTTGAGAAAGAAACGGTCCCTCTTCTGTTTCATCTTTAGCTATAGGTGTGGGGGAGTCCAATCCAAGGATATTTTAGAAATTAAGAAGGAACATTTACATCTAATGTGGTATTCAAAGAAATACTTTAAAAACAACAGTAACAAATATTACAAACAACAGAAGAATACAGAAATGAAAAAAATGAAAGGAAAAGCGACATTTAGAATTAACACACACAAAAACACACAAAACCAACAAGGAAACAAAATAAAAAGATTAATGCTTTGCATACATTCTGTGTACTGTACTGAGTGGATCTCATCACAAGAAGTATATACATTCAGTAATCACAAATCCTATATTGCAGTTTTTAAAAAATGCAATTACAACTTAAAACAAACTACAACACATTACAGAACATTTTGTTGCAGGTCCCCACTTGTAGATTTTAATCCTGGAGTCACCCTGAATTCCTGGACCTTATCTCTTTGAAATTCTTTTGTGCTGGCTCCTGTAACTATTACTGCTCTGCCACCAAAACTATGTAGTCTCATCTCCACTTGCAGAGGGGCAGCCAACTGTTTTTCTTTCTCTTGGAATTTGGGACATTTACTTGCCATACTAGAACACCTCTCCACTGCCTTACCTTATTTTTGCCTTGGGATCTTTAGAAGTTTTGCCTAAAACCCCTACTCTCAACTTGTGGATCACTGAAACAGACAATGTCCTAGAAGGTGATATTGGTATCCTGGGACGTGCAGCTTTAGAGAAAAAGAAATGGCGAAGATGAGAATATATCTGACTTTAGTAATGTGTGTGGAGAGGTGAGAAGATGCCTGTGGCTCCAATGGTGAAAGTTAAATTGATTTTGGTACCTGCTGGGACCTGCTTTAGAAAGAAATAAATGGACGAGGTGGGATTATTTCTCTTAGTCTTTTTTACGACTCTGTGCATCTCCACATGGAGGAGAGAAATAAAGCTTGTTCCCCAATAATGAAAAGCAAGGTGTTCCCGCTGTACTGGACCCTACAAATGCTCTCATATTTTCAGGCCAGGGTACCCAAGAAGCCAGTATTTGCTCTAGACTGTGAGATGCATTTGGAGATTTGTACTGATTATTCTGTATGTGTGTGGTGTAGTTGTTAAAGAGAGTTGGCCCAAGATTGGGGAGACAAGAGTTCCGATACCCACAGTCACACACTCTCAACCTAACCTACCTCACAGGATATTTGTGAGGAAAAGAGAGAGGGGAAGGAAGCATTTCCTTTAATACACAAATATTTACTCTAATTGTCTCAGTGAAGGAGTTTCTTCTCCTCTTTCTTCTCCTCTTACAGACTCCTGTTTCTTTGACTGAGATTCAACTGTTATGAGTGAAAAAAATATTTTTTCAAACCACATGATCGTTGACGGCATATGGTTTTTGGAAATAATTTCATGTTGAAATAATTTAATATGGATGACTAAGGAAGAGCACGGACTGGGATAAGCCCCAACAATTAATAAGTTTACCCCCCTTGTCCCCATAACTGACATTGCTAAAAACAACGCCACCCCCACCCACCCCCACTTTCTGTCGGGCGCATGCTCCTACGGGCATAGCAGCGATTTATAATTGGTAGGCCCACTGAATAAGCAGGGAGCTTTGCACTATTCCTGCTTTGCAACTGAAGAAGCGGGTTCTTCGCAGCTTCTATTGCTGGAATAAAACCTTGTTCGTCTTTAAAATGTGCCAACGGGGAGACCCGTTTTACTATTGCTGCGGCAACTGTTTAACTCTCCCGAGTCCCCCTCTGGAATTCTTCGGGCCCGATTCATGCGGTGCATAAGCAGTGTCCCGGGAACCTCGCCTGCCCGCACGCCTCGTCCAATGCACCCATTGCATCCGCGCGGCTCCAAGAAGCAGGCATGCCAGGCAGCTACACCGCCCGCTGGAGGCTCCCTCAGCGCGCACGGAGGACGTCATGAGCTCGCCATGCCCCGGAACCAGCCGCGGCGCTTTGCACTCTTCGTCGCTCCTTTTAGGTCGCTGGAGGGGTTGGACACATGTCCGGGGACGGCTCCATGCTTCTCGCTCGCCTTGCCAACGTCCGTGTCTTCGCTTCGCTCTCTAAGCCGGCTGCGGGTAAGTACCTTCCTGGCAGCACCCTTACAAATGTCGCCCTGGAGGAGGAGAAAGAACTGATGCCGCAGCACCGCGCACAGTTCCTCCCCTGAGAAGGCGCTTCCTGCCCTTCCCGCTCTGAGGCGGCATAAAGCAGACTGTAGTTAAATCTCTTTCCCCGCCCTCATTATGTACACTTTGGGGTGCGGCCGTGGCTCAGCGGGTAGAGCGTGTGCTTTGCATGCTCAAAAACTCAGGCTCAATCCCAGGCGCCTCCACTTTGGGCATGTGTGTAGACTGATGTCGTCTCCACAGTCTGTGCTCTTGGGTAGTACGTTGCCAGCCTGCACCTGTGCACATTGTGTGCCGCGGCACAAATGGCCAGCTCGAGATTAAAATGTGCTCTCTTTTCTTTGGGTTCTTTGGGTTTTCAGAAGGGGGGGGGGGATTATGTTGTGGTGGCGCCTGTCCACCAGCAGAGGGGACAAAGGTACAGTTGCTGTGCTATACTCAGACGATTCATGTGCTATAGTTTAGAAATATTGCTGAAAACATCTTTTTCACATTTCTTGTGTAACATAGAAAGCCACTGTCTTGCATGACGTGTTCTGTATGCCCCATGTACACTGTTCTGTATGACTATGGTACACTTAGCTTTCATCCAGGATACAGAGGTGCAGTTTTGGGGCTGTCCTCCTACACTCCCCTCCCCCCCCCCCCCCCCCCCCCATTACATGGCATATTTAAGTATATGGAATAGCAACATAATAGTGTTATATAACTCAGCACAGAATGTTGTGTTGAACAACAGTAAGTTCTTCAATAAACATGAATGTGGATTCTCTAGAGCAGGGGTGTCGAACTCATTCCTTATGAGGGCCAGATCTGATATAAATGAGACCTTGTTGGGCTGGACCATGTGTGTCATAAAATGTAATGCCAGGTAGTGAAGATATAAACTTTATAAAGGATACAAACACAAAGGTGGTTTTTTTTACTTAAAAATATGTTTAAAACGTTAGCACTCTTGCAATATTTTATTTATTTAACAGTGCTTGATAACTGACACCTCTTGCTCTGAATTATTGCATCACAATGTCTGTGCTGTTGAAGTCTTGAGTATGCTGTTTAGGTGTGTATCTGTAAGCTGAAAACCTATGATGATGCAGCAGCAGAACTGGAAGAAGAAGCAGAAGACAGACAGTTCCACTGCGGGCCTGATAGAAGCCCTCTGGGGGCCTGATCTGGCCCCCGGGCCGCATGTTTGACACCCATGCTCTAGAGAGGCTAGAGACTCTGTAAGCCACTGTCTTGAAGGTCAAAGGTGATTGGGGCAGACAGATGCAGTCTTGTTAGTCTTAAGAATCTGAATCAATACATTGGGAGCCCTCAGCCTTGTGGGGCCCGTTGGGTGTGTTGCCCCACTCCCCTGCTTTCATTGTCTGTATATGTGTTGGAATACCTCTCTTTGATAGCAAGTTCACAACCCTTAATTTGCCAGAGGTTATTATTGTTTTGCAGGAGTAGTAAAATATTATTATTGAAAGAATTAGCCCACTGTCTTAAAAAAATAGAGACAGAGCAAGTATTTTTTTGAAATTGTTATGAAGAAGCAGAGACTGACATGGGGGTTGGGTTGAACTATTTATCATTATGGATATTTTATTATTTATTGTTACCATTGCACTTAATATTTTTCTATCCTTCTCAAAGCTGTTAATGCCCTACCTTCGCTTGCCAATGCTGGGACACTGAAGCGGCTGGCAAAGTACCCCATTCTGAAAAAGTGAGTCACAGTGCAATCCTAAGAACACTGCCCTGGCAGTGTTTTATTCCAACAAATAACAAAACAATGCAGCACACAGTACAAAATGGCAAGTAACAGCAAAACAACTGTGTGCTGAAATACCCGCAAGAGTAAATATAAAAAAGAGACTTCAGCAAAGTGAAACACATATGTAATCAGCAATAAATCTGTACATAAAATCCATCATAGGAAATATAGAAGTCTACAGAATGCATCAAGTCCAAACTAGATATCCAACACTATTCCTAGGTAGTATACCGTGTTTCAGACTTCTGGTCCTTCCTCAGGAACAAAGAGCTATAGAAGTACAAAATACAATAACACCTTTTAACAATATAGCCTCTTAAGTTCCTTGGGTCCGAATTTAGCTTCTTGTCTGCTTCATAATAGGGCTTAACCCAAATATTGGCAGAGCTCGCTTGGCTCTTTTCAAGATCAATCATCATTCTGCCACACATAAGGATTGACACATTTAGTCTGATGAAAACTAAACGGTTGCAGCTAAGTTTGGTTGTGGATACAGGGCCTGGTTTTGTTTCATCGTTTTGTGTATATGTCAGTTATCTTTGCTTTGGTATCTGTTTGTATTCAGCACTATGATTCTATTTTGATGATGTTACTTTTAATAAAAAAATACAAAACAATACCAAACAAAAGGGAGAATTTATTTTTCAGTAATTTAAAAATTATGTTAATATTAACCAATAAAAATTTCTCTACATTAACATCTGGGCAGCCACAATATTTTTCCCCATAAAAAGCTACTTTTTGTAGTTGGTCTGTTAAACTATTTCATAAAGATGATGTATAACAGTATAAAAGTGTGGGGAACCCCTTTAGTTTGTTATTTAGTTAATTTTCTCCTTTTTCAGAACTGCGCATTACGCTTCTTTACAAATGGAAGCTGGGGAAATAGATACCATATCTCTGAAACGTCCTCTTTCTGAGGATGATAATGCAAAAGGTGATGAAAATAAAAGGCAAAGGTTTTCAGAAGAGCCCCTCAAAGGAAGAGAGAATCCTGACCCTATTACAGTGGAGGCAGAGCTGGAGCCACCTGGGAAACCTGCACTTAAGGGCTCCAAAAATGAAACCATCCCAACTGAGGAAAGCACCAAGCAAGGTGAAGAAGAATTGGAAGGAAGTGATGAAGGAGAACCAGAGAGCTTTGCAGACATGATGAAGCATGGTCTGACCGAACTCGATGTTGGCATCACCAAGTTTGTTAGTTCTCACAAGGGCTTTTCTGGAATCTTAAAAGAGAGGTAACTGTCACTGTTTTAGTAACTAACCCCATGGATTGGCTTCAGATACAGAAAACTGTGCCACTTAAGTTAGAGCAGGATCCTGTACTTTAAAAAAAATGCTGAACTAGCTAGCTCTGCTCCTGCTTATGTTCTCCTTGCTTCTTATTTGGTCATGAAGCTCAGTTCCTGGAGGTCCAACAAACAGGGCACAGAGGCCAAGGCCTTCCCTTGATGTTGTCTCCTAGCACTGGTATCTAGAGGTTTGCTGCTACTGAATGTGGTGGTTCCCTTTAATCACCATGGCTAGTAGCCACTGAAAGACCTCTCCTCCATGAAACTGTCAGACTGTCCCTTTCAAAGCCATCTGTGCTTGTGGCCATCAGTACATCCATTGGCAGTGAATCCCATAATTTAATTACTTGTTGAGTAAAGAATTGTTTTCTTTTATCTGCTCTGTACTTATTGCTCATCGACTTCTTTGGATACCCCTAAGTTCTCTAGTATTATGGGAGAAGAAGAAAAAGCTCCCTCTATCCACTTCCTCCACCTCATGCTCACTGCTTCTGCTTTTTTCCTATAAACACTCCCTTCATGTGATTATTATGGTGAAAAACAGCCCAAGGTGAGTCGGATAAATGCTGTTTGGGGCTCAGCTCTCTCCATAGCAGTGCAACTGCTGTGCTAAACAAAGATGGTGGGGACATATCAGGCCCTCCATGCCAAAGGCCGTGTATATGCTGGTTGCCTTTTTCTGAGTTGAATCCTGTTAGCTGCTGCTGCTCACTCCAGTTAGTTTGCCCTCGTCGTATAGGAACTGTATTGAACAATTTATCTTCCAGTCTGTGTATAGCTTAGAAATATTCTTCTGATCCTTGGAAGTTAATTTGCATAGATGATTAGTATATACATTCCTTCCAAAATAGCTGATATTTACCTGTCTGAAAAACTAGGAAAGTCTGCTGGTTTCTGTTTACAGATTCTAAAGGAGTCCAAGATGGGTTCTTTAAAACAAAACAAAACCCTGTGTAGAAAATATGGTGCAGCCCTATTGAGAAACCTTGCAGATTGAGTTACAGGGCCATCCTGACCATGTACACTCAAAAGTAAATCCCATTTAGTTAAATGGGATTTAGTAAGTGTGTTTAGGATTACAGTCTTAGCTTCCATAGAACTGAATTAGAAACTTACTTGGGAACCAAAATGGGAAGGGTGTGTCATTTTTTATGTTCCTTAAGTAACATGTTAGGAAATGAACAAACAGAAAAGCAGGTTTATGGTGTGAAAGAACAGGTCTGATAGATCTCAGTTCTGAAAACCAGTGTGCATTCAGGACATGAGTCTGAAAGGGGAATGTCATGTCAGAAATCGTTGTAGAGCTCTGTTAACCTATTTGTCTTGTTTATTAGATATTCCGATTTTGTTGTTCATGAGATAGGAAAAGATGGCCATGTCGTTCATTTAGATGACTTCTCTGTGCCAGTAGTTGATGAGGTAACTTTCCCCCCCTTCGCATAGCCTCCATACCTAATTAAAGTCTTTATTAAAAGCAGTGTGTACCTGCAGATTCATCTTTACATCCTGTCGTGTCATACTTATTAGGATCCACCTGAAGATATCTTTGCTGTGTTGTCAGCTGAAGAGAAGCAGCAGCTAGAGGACCTTCAGCTTTTTAAGAATAAAGAAGGCAGCGTTGCCATCGAGGTAAACTGTCTGAACAATACACAAAGTAAACAGTAAGCCTCATCACTTGCCGTGCTTGTGAGTTGGCTTGATTGACTGCTGGGCACACAGGTGACACTCATGTATAAAATAAATCAATACAATTTTTGCCTGAACTGTATCAGTTCATGCTTCAGGTGAGGACTCATAGGCCTGAATGTTCCTCAGACACCTCCCATTTGAGTCTTGACACACCCATTGCCTCCATCCATTTTAACTTCCCAGTCTGCCCTATTGTTGGGACAGAGAAACAAAATAATGGCCATTCTCCCTGTCAGAATATAAAAGCCAGCAGGTATTCTTATGTATCTCAGCATTAAATATGAAAGTACGAAGATTCCTGCTGAATCAGATCAGTGATCCATCTAGTCCAGTGTCCAGTTACACACTGTGATTACCTTGATTCCTCCAGAAGGCCTGCAAGCAAGGCCAAGGTCTTCCCCTGATGCTGCCTCCTAACACTGATATTCTGAGATTTGCTTCTTCTAACTGGAGGTTCTATTTGACCACTGTGGTTAGTAGCCATTGATGGGCCTCTCCTCCATGAATTTGTCTAGATTCAGTACCAATGAAGTCCACCATTTAATCATTTGTTGAGTAAACAATATTTTCTTGGAAATGGAACCAACAGATGCCTTATGATCCAGAGAAGACAAAGCTGAAGGTTCATTTTAGATCATGTGCTAGGTAGAATGTCAATAGACATCAGACTGGGTGGTATTATCTAGTCATTAAATTGAAAGGCAAACTGCCCCCGTAAAAAAGGTATTTTCTGAAGATCATCTTCCTCAGTGTTAAGAATCCTTCTCTCTGATGGCTAAATCTATTATTTCACAAAATACACAGAGAATGTAAGTAGCCTTGTTTGGTTCATGGACTTATTCCGGTAAGAAATGTACTTTGTTCATGGCCCAACTGTAAGACATTGTCCAGCCAAGGAGTGTTTAGGCTGAGGTGCTGCACCAAAGTGCTGCACCACCATTTCTCATGTGTTAGACCTACGTTAGTGATACAGTGATGTTGTTTGTGCAAGAGAAAACCTGTGGCTGCCATTTAGAGACAAGTTTACAAAAGACACTGCAGACAGGGTCAGAGCTTAGCTGGAGGGCACTCAGTTGAATGCCAGTTGTTGAAATGCCGTTAATAATATTCAGATGCTGTTTTGGCTTTTTTTACTTTTCATATTGCAAATGCGAGATTTAGAGCTGAAGTGTATCTACTGTGCATTGAATTACTGGCACAGCTAAGATTTTTCAGTCACTGGATTATTGCAGGAACCTGAAGTTTTGCTATATGATGGTGTTCAAACATTGAGTCTGCTGCTAAGGTCTCTTTTGTCTGGCTGCTATGGGTTTCATTAAAGCTCTATCTCATATGGTGGAGCTTGGCAGTGCAAGCCTAAGCGTGTATACCCAGAAGTAAATCCCATTAGTAGGACTTACTCCCTAGTAAAGGGTGTTTAGGATTGGAGACCTGACAGAATCCCAGCAAGGGAAAGAAATAGGGAGAGGACACAGCTGCGTTGCAGTTTGGTTGACAGTCCATTGATGATTCTACAAAAAGTAAGGTTGCCAAGTAACCAGGAAAAACATGTCCCGTCTAGGGGTGTGGAATATTTTTTTTTATTGGTATTTTCCAGCTCGGGTCTATTGGACCTGGAAAAAAAATTGGCATTTCCGAAAAATCCCAGATCCCAATACCGGTATGGTATTCAGATCTGGGATTTTTTGGAAATCCCAATTTTTTTCAGGTCCAATAGACCTGAGAAGAAAAATACCGATTTCTTTTTTAAAAGCCAGCCCTATCCTGGGGCTGGCTTGGCTTCTGGTGCAGCCCAGTTTAAACAGGGAACAATCTGCTTCCCGCGGGCAAAAACGATCCTGGCTGGGCTTGCTTCTTCTGTAGTCCAGTTGAAACTGGGCTGCAGGAGGAGCCAGCTCCAGGAGCTGTTGTGATGGATGGAGCATATTATTCCATGCAGCACGGGAGATCATTGCTGGACTCGCTTCTCCTGCAGCCCGGTTTAAACTGGACTGCAGGAGGAGCCAGCGCAAAACCCAGCTTGTGGGGAGCAATCTGCTCCCAGCGGCACAGCAGATCCTGGGGCTGGCTTCTTCTGCAGCCTGGTTTGAACGAGGCTGCATGAGAAACCAGCCCCAAGCTGAGCCAGTGGGAGTGGTCTGCTCCACACTGGCACAGCTGATCCACCTCTCTGCTGTTTTCGGATCTACCCAGTAATTCCCAAATATATTTGGGATTTTTTTGGGGACTCCTCCCATCAGTTTTCCTGAGAAAACCCGGATACATTTGGGATGCCAAAAGCTACTAAAAAAATACTGGTGGTATTTTTTTGATAGATTTTTGGCTCGCGTTGATTGCACACCCCTAGTCTTGTCCCTTTAATAAAGTTTACTATTATTATTAACTTTATTTATAGCCCACCTTTCTCACTGAGGCTCAAGGGGGATTACCAAAGTATGATAAAAACCATTCAGTCTAGTGGCAAAGATATCTAATAAACCAATTCAGTGGGTCTGGGATTGAAGAACTGGAAAGCAATGCAAGCAAACAAAAAATAACCTGTTTAAAGCAACAAGTGCCAATGGTAACAGTCCTCAGAAGGCCACCAGTGGCATGTCAAAGATTCACATGTGGCTTCCAAAGCACAAAGTATCACTGATTGTACCATACTGAAAAGAGTTACAAAGGAAGAAGACACTGAATGCCAGGGGTTTTCGGAGAGCCATCGGAAGTGTTCCTTCAGTCCAGCTTTGTAGAAATATTTTTCTTCCTTAGGCTATAGCAACCAAGAAGCATTAACATTGCATCTGGGCTTGGTGATTGGCTGCCTAGTTGAATTTGTTTCAGATTTTCTACACCTAGAGCAAAAGATATGTAGCGCTTTATGAAGCTAAACTGTGACAAACATCAAAACTTTGCCGGCATTATTCTTTTTTTCTTTTTTTTTAAACAATGCTGCTGCTTAGGTCATTGAAGACACTAAGGAAAAAAGAACGGTGATTCATCAGGCTGTGAAATCCCTGTTTCCAGGACTAGAGACTAAAACAGAAGAGAGGGATGGGAAAAAATACATTGTTGCTTACCATGCTGCTGGGAAAAAGGCACTTGCAAGTGAGTTCAGTGATTGCTTTTACTTCAGAACTGAAAAACAGAAGTTGTCCTGTAGTGTACTGAGATCATCACAATCACAGCATGTGTGAAAGTTGACTCTGGCCCCTGCCACACGGGGGGGAAATTGATGCTGCCAAAGTGCGGCTTTTTAAAGCCGCACCAAAAGAGACACGCGGCGGCGGGATCAGACGGATCCCGTGAGCTGCCGTGCAGTTGCTCCCCGGCACGATCAGATGCTGGGGGAAAGACAGGGAAGGGAGCGCGAGGCAGCCGGCTGCGCATGTGTGCGCATGCGCAGTTCGGCTGGGAGCCTCGAATGCTCCTGAAGACGGGTGCTCTTGCGATCCGACAGCCGCGCTTGCTGTGGCGTTTCAGGTAAGTCCTTCTCTTTACTAGATTCTTTTTTGCTCCGCGTTACTGGGCTGAAGGGACGGATTGGGGACGGGTGCACGCTGCTTCCCAGATGTTGCGGTTTGATCACACCCGTTTGCTGCGCCCCCGATCCGTCCCTCTTCCGGGTCTAAACCTCCCGTGTGACCGGGGCCTCTGTTGTGTTTTAAATAGCATAGGGCAGGAGGGAGTCTTGGCTTTAAAATCCCTCTTTGCTGCGTCTTGCATAGTGCAAAGGGCCAATTTAATGCTGTTTTTATTAACATGACAGAGAGATAATTAAGCGAGTAACTGCTGTTTGTAGTCCAGCTTATTAAAATCCTTTGACACATGATGGAAGAATGACACTTTAGTGTAAGTTTGCATATGAAGGAGCTAAAATACAGATGTTTGTAGTCACAGAACAGAAAGATTTCATTCAAGGTCTGTCTGTATATTGTTCTACAACTTTTAGCTTTATGCGGGTATTTTCTAATGAAAATACAGTGAATTTATTATTTAAATAAATGGCAGAGGTTATATGATCAGCCTACACAAATAACTTTTCCTTATTGCTCACAAGTATGTGTGGTAAAGTTATCAATTAAAAAGGATTATTTTCTTCAGATCCAGTACCTAATTCTGAACCTGACATTTAAAAAAATATTATTGGCTTAAAAGTGTAGGCTAGACTTCTGACTTGGCGTTTCAAACATTTTGAAGAAGAGTCCCTTGAAAGAGCTTAAAAGCAATCTCAATGAAGGTGCTTTAATTTAATTGCAAGTGAGTGTCACTTGATACTATAAATTCATTCCTGGGTGTTTGTTTGTGCTAGCTTGTCTACAGGAGTGTTATCTGCATTCAAGAATAAGTGTGGGCAACTGGCCCGACATTTCTGCAGCCTTGTTCTCATGTTCCCATGAAAGCATCATCAGTTTGTCTGTGAAGGGGGTCAGCCTGTGGCAGCTACCACCCCATGAGTGCTTCTGGCACTGTTCTAGTAGCTAGCCAGAGAATGAAGGACTATAGTCGAATGCCACAAAGCATGGTAGCTTGGAAATTAAGGGAATGAATGTCAGAGGTTCTTGTAGGCTTAAAAAAAATTAAGTATCCAGATCTTACAAAAGCCGTGGCCCTCACTGCATGAAAAGAGGGGAAAGTCTTTCTGACGTAGCAGCCAATCTGAATTGTGGGATCTTTGGTTCTCAAATACAGAGATCCAAGAGACCTCAGTTACATGAGCGATAGTCACCAGCAATGTTCCCTCTAAGCTCCACAGTGTTCTGAGCAGAAATTCTACCTCGTGAGTGAAAAAAGCTAGTAGCATTAAAGTTCTGAGCAACTCTACATTTGACTATAGGATAAATTCTTTTTAGAAGATTATTTCTATAACCTTGTAAAAATCTCAGAGTTAATTCTTTTAAACTATATTTGAACTATTTTAAGAATAATTTAAACATTATAACAGAAAACAGAATCAAGTCAAATTTCATTACACAAAATGTTGTCTACAGGGGTCTACCCATCCCTTTCCACTATATTGATAGACCTGGCCTCAGACTGTCACCCTGCACTGACCCTTAGAATTCATACCAGCACTTGTGGGGGGGGGGGTGACTATTGCAGTGTTCTTTTGTTTTTTTAGTGAAATATGACAACCAGCATTACAGGTCAAGTATAACAGAGGTAGAACAATCACTGTCAGAACACTGCCTAACCTAACAAACAGGAAGTTGCTTAAATGTTATCAATCTACCCAAACTACTTATTTATTCAGATATTTTTATCCCACTTTTCCCTGTGACTCAAGGCAGCTTACAAATCATACTGAAAGGCATAATAGGGGTGTGCAAAAACATCTTTTTTTCTGGCTCAGTTATAGCCTAGGGGGACTATTTTAATCAATGAGTCCCATAGACTATAATGGAGAATCAGTCCATGGGGCTCTGGGGGAGCTGTTTTTTTAGGTAGAGTCACCAAATTTGCAGCATAGCTGCTGGTGCCTCTCCTCAAAACTCCCCCAAGTTTCAAAAATATTGGACCAGGGGGTCCAATTATATGGGCCCCTGAAGGAGGTGTCCCCACCCTCCATGGTTTCCTATAGAAACTTGGTTGTGAGCTGAGCAGAAATCCTCTGAGCTGGCCTCCGAAATGTTCTCCAGTGCCCCCTAGCTCAGCTTAGAGGGAACTGTGGTCACAAGCCAGTTGCCAGAAGCAAAAGCCATTCAAATGCTGCGAGGCTGCCTGCTGCCCTGACCTGGGTGGCCCAGGCTAGCCAGATCTTGTTGGGGTTTTTTTTAAATAGATTTTTATTGGGTTTTCAAAAAAGAAAGAAAAAGGTGAGAGCAACACATTTTTTAAAAAGTCCATTCCAATATCTCATACATAGCATCATGTTTGCTTGCAAATACCTTTTTTCTGCTTATTTATACTGTCTGGCAACATTCTCTTTTACTATAATATTTCCTTTTCTACAAACATATATCTAAAAAAGCCAGTAATTTCTATTAAATTAACCATCTTCTAATAATCTAATTTTACAATAGAACATAAAATCTTACCATCTTTGCAAACTATATAGTTAACTGTATAAGTAACTATACTATCTTACCAACTATACTATACTATCTCAGAATTTCTTGTTACCCTGCAAGAAGACAGATAGCTTTGAAAATTCTCATCAAATCCATACAATTCATATTATAGCAATTCATGTTATTGATAATAGAATTTACATCACTTACTATAAATCTTTCATCTTCTTTATATTGTACTATTATTAAATCAAGGTAAATTACAGCCAATTAAAAACATTACTTATAAAATTTACTTATAATCATCTTTAGGATCTTCTTTCATAATGTTGCATTCCTTGTTGTTAATAATAAAACTTAAATCACATTACTATGTATTTTTCATCTTATTAGTATTGTACAGGGCACACAGATCAAAGTCAATTACACACAGTCACTTTACTATATACCTTTCATCTTTGTGGTATTATGCTATACTGTTATTTTATGTTTTATATTTTATATTACTGCAAATCACTTAAATCAATGCACATAGGTCAAGGCAGATTACAGCCAATTAAACAGTCATTACTTGTAAAATTTACTTATAATATTTAATATTTTTCTGCTTTCTCTTACGTTTTTTAACACTATCATGATCTTATGCCTTTTCCCTTTAAAAGTAGAGTCATTTTCCCCCTCTCTATATTTAATTGAAGAAGAAAATAAAAAAAACATTAATTCTGTTTTGTCTTCTGGAGAGGTTATATTCTTCTTAACCATCTCTGGAGGTTGAAGATTTGAAAGGCTTTCCATTGTACTATTTGTCTATATAAAAGCTTGTTATCTCTCTGTTTGGGACAACCAGGTCCTCCAGGAAAGCATCTTGTCTGGAATTCTGTTTTTTGAGTGGCGACTGTCGTTGTTGTTGTTGAGTATCTTCCTGCTCTGCTGCTTCCAGTGGGTTGTTCTGCTCTTGCTCCTCGTCATGGCATCCCAAACTTTCTTCAAATGTTTGCTGGAGAGTTTCTGCCAATACTTCTGTCAGTTGCTCTTTAAGGTTTCCCCGAAAACTTGTGGTAGTTGTGTAAAATCACTATTTCCCAATGTATCCAGCTCTTTGGGTGTAGTTTAAAAAGCCATCACTTTACCTTGTTACAGTTTAGAGTCACATCTGCAAAATCCACAGTCTTATACTCTATAGTTTCAGTGGGATTTACTCATTAACCAGGCGCAGTTTCAGTAGCCATTTTAATTCCACCAGTCCTTTTTCAAAAAGCAAATAATCTTTTCTTTGTTAAGAATAACCAACAGATCTTAAATCTCAAACGTTGCAATAGAAGTAATTCTGTTTCCTGACTTCAGTAAAGTCTTTAGCCCCTGGGAGCATTTTAAATGTTTTTGTTTCCCAGTCTCTTTGCAGCCACACGAAAAAGGAAAGGGAGGAGGCAGAATTCCACTCCTTGTTTCCTTAACTTCTTGGGAAGATTTGGAGGGGCATATTTGGAAGTTTTGAACGTTTTTTAAAGCTTAGAAGTTGCAAGGCCAAGTACTCACTTAGAAGAAGAAGAAGAGATTGGATTTATACCCCACCCTTCACTACCCAAGGAGTCTCAGAGCAGCTTACAAACCCCTTTTCCTTCCCCTTCCCACAACAGACACCCTGTGAGGTAGGTGGGGCTGAGAGAGCTCTGACAGAAACTGCTCTTTTTCAAGAACAGCTGTGCCAGAACTATGGCTTGTCCAAGGTTATTCAGCAGGTGCAGGTGGAGGAGTGGGGAATCGAACCCACTACACCAAACTTATCAATCTGTTCTTCACCGATGTTATGGCGAGGTTCAAAGCTCTCTTCTAAGGAGTGTTCACAGCTTGGCAGCCATGACTCGTAATGACTGCGCAACTCGGTGCTTCGGCTTTAGGACAATCCCGAGCCTCAATCTGCTCATCGCGGGGGGGCTCGGATCAAGTCCTCTGCAATTGGCTCTTCCTCCAGAAGTGCCGGTGGGATATCGGGAGGCCCCGATTATCCCCTGAAAAGCATTGAGAGTAGGCGATTCTCAGGAGCCCCTGTGAAATCTTTTGCTTTGCTGCGCCACAGTTCCGCCCTCCAGGCTAGCCAGATCTTCAAGCCGAGCAGGGTCAGCCTTGGTTAGTACTTGGATGGAGTGGGGCACCAAGGAAGTCTGGGTTTGCTACACAGAGGCAGGCAATGACAAACCACCTCTGTTCCTCTCTTGCCTTGAAAATCCTACAGTGTCACCATAAATCAGCTGCGAGTTGATAGCAGTTTCCACCACCAGGCGGCGTGCTCGAGTGACCACATTTTCACATATAAATAGCTCTGGTACCTTGTTAGAGAGGAGAGGATTTCCTTCCTCCCCCAGTTTTGCATATTATCTCTCTGTAAATGGTACTGGATTTTATTCAGTCAAGATACTTTCTGGTCTGACCTTTTCACTGTTCATCACAGAGGTCATAGCTTCCCTCTTTCCATCTAGCTGAGTTCAGTTGCACGGAAGGGTTGGGCTTGAAGCATGAACTACAGCTTCTTCGTTTAGGCCAGCGTTGCCACTGACCAGAAGCAAAGTCCTCACTTCTCTTGTGATGCTTTCCCCAGCTGGAGATTAGCATCATTGCTGACCAAAGTCTGCAGACTGAATTGCTGGGTAGAAACTATGGGGAATCCTGACTTGGTTGGTCTAATGGCCTTGAAATATTGCTCAGAGCAGCAATGTCCTGCTACCTTGCCAAGCTTAAAACAAACAGAGAAACCTGGAAACCTGTTTTGAACTGCAGCTATCTATTGTTTATTCATGTTAATGTGTCAAAAATGATTGAAAAACATAATTGTGTGTATGTGATTGCATTGAATATATAAAGATGGTCCACATTTGCATGCATTGTGCATGGAGCATGCATGTTTAGCGGATCCAAAAGAAATAGTCAGACAGCCCATGCTCTCCATCTTTTCCTGCTCGGCTAATTTAGAAAAATGCCTGTGTTGGGTTATCAGATGACTTTTCTAAATTGCTAAGGTAGGAATATGAACAGCTTCATAGAATGGTATAAAACTTCATGGCAAGGGTCTTTCAGAATGTCTGCATTTTTAAGAGAGATATCAAAAATTCATTTGAGTGATAAAGCTGTTCAATGCATATGATCTGCATTCCTCGTAATATGTAAGTATTTGCAGGATTGGTTTGTTTTGTACTGTGACCAGGGCTGGGTGGGGGATGGCATGCAGCAGGCTGTCTGCCACTGCCCTTGAACCCCCCAGTTAGTTAGGCTCCCAGGTTTGAACTGGCCTTATAACTTGATTCTGTTCTGAACACCTGAACAATTCTACCCATGTTTTTTTCTCGGGTCTCTGCATCACAGTTCTCAATGTAGTCTTTTACATCTGTAGCTGAAACCTGCCATTTTTTCCACATTGTCCTCTGCATGATTCCATCACATAGCTTCCTGAAAGAGATGTCAGCCACTCCATTAACTGTGGAATGCCCTAGATATGTATTGACATAAAGTATGTCATCTAACCAATAAATGTGCATGCTTCCATCTGAAGCACTTTGGCAGCTCAAGAACAAAACAAATAAACATTGCTCTCTTATGCTCTTTACCCTATGCATGTGATCAGAGGTCAGAACTTCAACAGGTAAGCGATGTTGGCATTTCATGTTTGGAGAAAATGAAATGCCTGTCCAATGGACAATAATTCAAACCAACTAAATAGTGAAGAAGTTGGAGAAACTAACAGGAAGTACACACCCTATCTGTTTACTCAGATGTAAATTCTAATGTGCTCAATGAAGCATACGTCTAAGTAACTGCATAGGAATGCAGGTATAACATAAACTAAGCTGTGATAGGGAATCAAGTTTCATATTGATCTCTAATTATGATCATTTCACAATAAAGACAGATTACCTCTTAAGATTCCTGGAAGTGTGAAATTCTTAGTTTCTTTCATGAAATAGCCGAAGTCCTTGGGATTAATCCAAATTCTCCAGCTCTGAATTGTTTGTGGATTATAGCCAAGGACCATTTTTCCTAATTGTAAAACTCCTAACATTGTTCTCTGTACAAGATGTACACCTAGATCAGCAGAAAACAGAGTTCAAAGCCGGGTAAAGATAATTTCACATGTTCTGAATGAAGCTGCTTAGAGCAGATGCAACACAGTGCCATCCTGAGCAGAGTTGCACTCTTCTGAGCCCAATAACCGTAATGGATTTAGCAGGGTGTAACTCTGCTTAGGATTGCACTGTTAACCGTGGTTAATGTGAAACCATGGCGTGCAAACCTGCTTTCACAGTGGGTTCTGCGTACTGTAGTGACCAACCTTTACCCATAGTTTAAGTATACAGATGAAGCAAAGCATGTAAGGAGAGCATGAATAATAACTGTTGCTCCCTTATCACCACTCTAGCTGGGCTTCTGTTTTGGGACATTTACTTTGGTTGGGAAGAGACAGCGTTCCAAGTCACCCACAGTGCAATCCTGTGCCCAGTTACTCCAGTCTAAATTAATTTAAACCAGTGGTTTTACACTGGAGTAAGTGTGCATAGGATTGCAGTGCTAGTGAACTTCAGTGGGGTTTTCAGCATGGCTTTCCCCATCAATGTCCAACACTTTGGTCACTGTACCAAGCTGGCAAGAAATGCAGTAAATATCAGTGGATAAGATGCCAGAAATCCTCCATTTTACTAGCAGAGGGAAACTGCTAGAAAAAAAGCATCTGCAGTAGCAGAATAGATCTGGGGAGTCTAGCCTGGGAAGTGCAGTCGTTACATGAATTATATGTTGTATGGACTTACTCTTAAGGTGTTCTAGAGCAGGTGTGTTATAGTGGTTAGAGGGTCAGACTGGCACCTTGGTGACCCAAGTTCAAATATCTGCTGTGTACTGGACACTTGTTGGGTGACCTTGGGCCAGTCTCATACTCTCAGCCTGACCTACCTGACAGGGTTGTTGTGAGAATAAAACGGTGGAGGATGAAGTCAGCCACTTTGGGCCCCATTGGGGAGGAAGGTGGAGTGTAAATGAAGCAAATGATCATTTTAAATCGGTAAGACGTTTCCTCCCTGACGTCACTGGGGACTAGGAGAGACCATGATGATTTTTATTATTTTCTGATGGTGGTGACAGGGCTCTGTTTGTGTTTTTTCTTTTGCCTATTAGCAATTGTTGAAGGTGAATAAGTTGTGTTGTGGTACAGCAGGACTATGAAGAATTTTCTAGCAAGCTTCTAGCTTTCCAGTATGACTTCTGAGATCTCCCCCCCAGAGTGGAGAATGCAGTGACAAGTGTACGAACTGTGGTTTACAATAGATACTTATGTGGAAGACTGCGAACTTGTTCTTACTTTTAACACATTGCACATTTTAATGTTTTATCTTTAAAGATCCAAGAAAACATTCTTGGCCAAAATCTAGGGGAAGTTACTGCCACTTCGTTTTATACAAAGAAAACAAGGATACTATGGATGCCATCAACGTGCTTTCAAAATTTTTAAGGTACTTTTAAAATAAAAAGCAGTTGGTTGATGTACACTGCAATCCTAGGAATAGTTATACCCTTCTAAAGCCAGTGACTGCAGTAGATGGAGAAGTCTGTACTATGTTTAAGCTGGCACTGATAGTCTGCTGTTGAGGCAATTTGGATCACATTATAGCATGGCTACTATTACTGGCCATCTTTGAAATACTTTTGAAACTAAGTATTTGTAAATTTATTTCTTTATTAAAATATTGTATTTTTCACTATACATGGTGTGATTGTTTAAGTGCAGTGGCATAAATCTGTGCATGGTGAAGCAGGGTTGGTTCCACTCAAAGCTTGTGGCTGGCTTCAAGCTATAGGGTTTCGGTTCAAGTTAAATCTCCCCCCCCCCCCTTAACTTCATTAATCCTCTCAGATGAATCTCACTTGGGGGAGGGGGGGAGAGCAGTAGAGGACAAATTATAACTATAAAGTTTCTCCCGCCCAGCCTTACTGAATCTTAGGTACTTGGAAGCCAGAGGATTAACTAAACAGAGAATATGGGATTCAGCCCTTCAAATTGACAGATTATAGGCTTCTCTGGTTCTGCCTGTGGGGAACAGTGTCCAAAATTTTACTCCACCAAACTACCTCCATAAATTAGAATTCCCCAAATACTGTAGAGCTTTTACTTTGGCCTGTTTTAATGTTCTCCTGTCTGCCCTTCTTGTGCATACCCCATATGCACAATGGCTCTGTCCTTGTCGGTCTGGTATGATAGAAACAATCAAACATGTCCTTTTATATTGTCCATGTTACAAGGACATTCAGAGTATGTATATCACCCCAATTACATCCAAATATTTAGATAGGCCCATTGATTTTTATTTTTCTCTTCTTTCTGCTGATTGGTTTAATGAGACTACCTTCAAGGTAGCAAGATTTTGCAGACTGGCATGTTCATTAAGGAAGCAGCTGGTCTAGTATTTTAATTATTATCATTAATTGTTTGAATTGCAAAGAACACCACTTTTATGTATCTTATGTGTAGCATACGTGGTTGTCTTCTCTGATTAGCTGATCGTGGATTTAATAAATTATGATGATGAATCTGTTCATGGCTCGCTCATGGATTACTGGCAACTGTTCACTTCCATCAGTCCTTTTTTTTTTTAGTAAATCATCTCTAAGATGTCCTTCAGTCCCACTGAAAACATTGCCAGCCATTCCCTTCACATCCTGGTTATTCTAGCATCCTTCCCATATACCTTAAACTTCATTTTCTGTTAGAAAGAGCTACATTTGGGTCTACATCCATAGGTTGCAGACCCTGGATCTAAAAGTCTGTTGCATTTTTGCAAGGAGTCCCAAGTTATACTACAAAAAATTCTGGCCCTGAATCCGGTCTCTTCTGCACTGTACCATTTAACTAGATTTTATTTAACATAATAGTCACGCCTCTTTCTCTGTGTACTGAAAATGTGTATCCTGTCTATTTTAAAAGAAAGCTGCTGTTTTGTTAGTGCTAATTTTTTCTTTTTCTTTTTAAAGAGTTAAGCCAAATATATTTTCCTACATGGGGACCAAAGACAAACGGGCTATTACTGTTCAAGAAATTGCTGTTCTTAGGTGAGTAAAAACAGGAAGATGCTTGGGTAACTGAACACCCTGGCAAAGTACTTAACTTTGCAAGCTCAAGTACCTGCAAGATCCAATTCTTTGTTCCTTTACATGGTATGGTCTTTATTTTACAGTTTGCGGGTTTATTTGGGGAAAAACCAATTCCACACTGAAAAGTAGTGTGGAATTCAGTAAGTCTTGCACATTTATTTAACCCAAGCATCCCATAATTCTCCTTTTGTCTCAAATCAGGAATTAAGAGTCAAAATCCCAATGCTTCAGTATCGTCCACCGGGGCCATGAGTTTTAGGGACATCATGAACCAGCTGCTGGGTTTCCTGGCTCAAAACACAACTTCCATAATAGTTTCTAGTTTTGGTAAACCAGTTATGCGTGATTGCTGAGCTACATGCACATTATATAGAACAGGTGGGGCTCAGACACCACGCCACACCATATGAGTGCAGGGGCTCATTCACATAGAGGCAAATCATGGTTTGATGTTATGACTGAGCACATCCAACCTGTCTTGAAGCTCTTTATAGTTTCAGAGACAGTTTGGTGTTTTGTTTTTTTCCTAACCAAAGTATATACACACAAAGGTGCCATCCATTGAAAGTAATGCATGTGCATTTGAGTGTTTGCACATATAGAAGCAAAGAGTGGGAAAGGATCAGTGTCAGGTCCAAGTGACCTTGGGGTTCGCTTCAGTAGATAAGTTTGCAGCTAGCCAGCAGACAGGAAACTCTCGGCACACAGCAAATATATTTAAAAAGCTTGTTTCATTTAATTGAGTAAAAAACATTCAAACACTCAGGATGTATGCAGTGCAGAAATCATCCAACCTAGGAGCAGTTGGCAGTAAAACATTTGAATGCGAAGGTAAATTAGCAATTCTTAAAAGGGAAGCTGCAACTTCTTACATGATAAGTCCTCATAGACAGTTCCGTAGTAAAGTCACCAGAGAACAGAAAACAGTCCCATCTCCGGAGGCAGCTTATCAACTCCACATCCCGGATACTCTGGTACTTCCTGGAAAGTTAATCACCCTCTACCCAGATGGGCTACTGCCATTCCCTTGAGATAACCGAGCTCTACAGTAGCCGGCAATTACCCCCACCAGTTACCTTCCTTCTCCAAGGATGGATCCTGTCAAACTCCTGGCCCCCTTCCAATCATCGGGGCTTAGCAAATTATAGGCTTGTTCAGCCCCCATCCCTTACAATCAGTCTCCTGCTTCTGTGTTTTTATTGGGGAAGCCTGGCCATTTAAACCTAAACATGCCACTTGGTACTGATGGTGCCTTGCAGGTATTTTGCTTTGTAAACCTCAAATGTATTTGCACCCCAGTTCAAAAGTGTAAATCAGCACTGATATGTGGGTAAGAGATCGTCTCTTTTAGGAGTATTCCCATATTACGCTGTGCAAGGCATTCATGCTTAGTATTGGAATACTCTGCATGTAAACTTTGGGTGCTTTTGGGGCAGTGTTCACTGGTGACTTTCAATGTGGTCCCATCCAAGTTGGATGTAAAACAAGATTGACATCTTTTTTCTTCTATCTTTTCTAATGAGGAGAAGAGGAAGCCTTCTCCCCTTTCATGTAGAGCAAAGTGTGCAAAACAAAATTGTTCAAGAGGGTATTCTTGTAGAAGGAGCAAAGCTGTGGTGTGATGGATCCTCTCAGGGGGTGACTTTTATTAGGGTTAAAGTTCTTCCTACACTTGCTGCCTTGTTGCCTTCAACAGATATGTTCGTGTGCATTCTGTTTTCTCAACCTGTTCTATAATCTCAGTCCAGCTGCATAATTTTGTCTTTCTAGAAATCTTAGCTGTTAGATTCAAATGTTATCATATCATAAAGTATGTTATCGTATTTTATAATCCACTCACTGATCGGCTGTTGTTACCAATAGGGATGGGAACAATCTGCAAAAATGCAGTTCGGTTCGTGAACCCATTTGGCTCGCATACGAACTGAACTGGGTTTGTGACGTTCATGACTGAAAAAGCTGAGTGGTGGGGGCAGCCTGCTCCCTCGGCTCAGCTGTTTAAAGGGGCTTTCTTGGGCAGCTACCCCCAGGGGTTGCCCAAGAAAACCCTTTAAACAGCTGAGCCCCATGGAGCAGTTGGGGCTAGCTGCCCAAGAAGGCCCCTTTAAACAGCTAAGTGCTCAACCTGGCTCAGCTGTTTAAAGGGGCTTTCTTTGGAGCGAGCCCCTGGGACTAGCTGCCCAAGAAAGCCCCTTTAAACAGCTGAGACACGGGGGCAGACTGCCCCCACGATTCAGCTGTTTCCCATCAGTTGAGCCACAGGGGCAGCCTACTTGGTTCCGCTCAGCTGTTTAAAGGGCTTTCTTGGGCAACCAGTGCTGCCCAAGAAAACCCCTTTAAAAAGTTGAGCCGCTTGGAGCCATTTAAACTCCTGTTTTCTGCTCCTCATGGCTTTTCATGGTGAACAGGAAGCAGTGATTTAAATGGCTCCCAGCCATTGAAACCAAACAGCTGAGCTGAGCTTTCTGTTTTCCATGAACCACCACAAATTGTATCAAAATTCATAAAACTTTGTGGCAGTTTTTACATTTGTGAACATTGCTTCACAAACCACACTGCCCAAAATTCATGATGAATTTTAGTTCATCAGCTGGTTCATGCCCGTCTCTAGTTACCAATCAGCTGAAACATTTATTTATCCCATTTGTAATCCACCTTGGATTCCAGTGAGAAAGGTGGACTATAAATGAAGATAATAACTTATTACTAGTCTCTTTGGTCTTTGTTTAGTTATCACATTCAAAGGATCAATTGGCTGAAAATAAAAAAGACACTGGTTAATTGGCAGCTGTTGATTGATTTTTCCAGAAAAGAACATAAATGAGAGTGTGGTGAGTGCAGGCATGGCTGTCTTCAGACATCATAACTCTAGCCAATTGGTTCCCTGTGTAATGACTCAATTTCTTGTGAAATCTCCCCCCCCACACACACAGAATCACAGCACAAAGACTGGCTCATTTAAATAAATGCCTGATGAATTTCAAGCTTGGAAATTTCAGTTACAAGAACCATCCGCTGAAGTTGGGAGAACTGCAAGGCAACCATTTCACAGTGGTTCTTAGGTAAAAATTCTGTATTCCAAAACTGTCATGATGCAGATTGGTTGGTTCTTTTTGTAAGAAATGTGTTGGCTGCAAAAGACAAGCTAATCCAGCATGAACTGGTGTTCAGTGTGTTTTCTAAAACAGCGACAGGAAATGGGTTCATGTAAGAGAGGGCCAAACTATTACAATGAATGATCAACAAAATCAAAATTCAAGTTTCTTTCCTCTTCCTTAGCCAAGTTGTAACTTGTCTGGCAGCATGATCCACATTTCTCAAGTGACCCTTAATATTACCAGTATTGTTGACTTGAATATACTCTATGGGATGGTTTAGTCATGTGTGAACATTGTGTGTGTCATCTTCCCCTTGCACACTGTGATTCGGTTAGGTGGCTTGCAATTCTTGTTTGGCATACAAGTGTAAACCATAGTTCACCAGCTTGGGTGTAATGTCAAAGTATGGCTTGCATTAAAGTAGAGTTGCAAATCAGAGCCTGCAGAGGGAAAGGAATGTACAAACAATGCATTGTGTTAGAAATGAGCTTGTTAAACTAATGTTAAACTTTGCAATATTCTGGCAAAATCCATTATTTTAATCATTTTTCCTGGATTTTCCCAGCAGCTTTCTCTAGTGTGGCTGAAGCCCACAGTTAGGGCAAAATTTGGAAACACAGAATTTGGTATAGTGAGAATCTTAGGATGGATTGCCTATAAAGAAAGAGTCCCTCACTTGGGGGTAGGGGCATAAAATGTGTAGGAAAAGTCTAGAGAAATCTCAGATGCCAGAGAAAGATGTCATGGAAATGATGGTGTCTTCTCCAACAACTGGTCTATCCTCCGATTTCCTTGACACAAGCAAATTTTCCCACTTACCAAAATGCTGACTTGGAAGGCGCATAAGTTGGTACTTTGCTTCTTGGAGCTGACAGAGATTGCATTAAGGGGCAAGCTGCAAAATACACCTGATATGTGGCGGACTCACAACTGGACTCAGTCAGATGCACATCAAGGGGGAAAATTGTTTGTTTGGTGCTACAACAGGAGAGGAGATTTGAGTTTTCCTCCCACCCTTTTGCCAGTGAAAGGGCTGGAGCATTGGGGGGGTGTCTTTTCAACCCTTTTCTCTGACTGTGTGGCCTATGCATTTTTTTCTCCATCATAAAGTAAATGCCATTGACCTGGAACATGGATCACACCCAAGTGTGCAAGGACTGCAAGTCGGATATAAAATCTAAGAAATGAAAGCCATGTAATATTATGTTATTGGGACCGAGCAAAACAACACAAGAGCACACAAGCCTTTTCTTTCATCAGGCTAAATTTTTTACAAAGTGGGGAATGGGGTTGTGGAAGAGAGAAATATTCTTCAAGCCTTGATCTTCCAGATTCTTATCTGCATCCTGTGTTGTAATTATTGATCACTTTTGACCCTTCTAAAACATGTATGTTTACTTTCCCCTAAAATGTTGACTTGCCAGAAATATAACTGGAACAGAAGATCAAGTTCGACAAGCCATGCTCTCTCTCCGGGAGATTGGATTCATTAACTACTATGGAATGCAAAGATTTGGAACGACGGCTGTCCCTACGTACCAGGTTGGAAGGTGAGCTGCTTTTATTTTGCCTGTGAGAGATGTGAGCACTCAGAAGCCAATGAAAGAGAACTTTGAACTTGAGCAGGATGTGGGCAGATCCAAACTCCCTTGTGTGAGCACAGAGGAGCCTGTGATTAATTAATTTCCCCTTCCCATCTGCAAACTATTGTGGTGTTTCTGCTGCCATTTCCATGGGCCTTTTGCATTGAGGAGTGTCTTTTCAGGAGGCACTGAGGGGTGATGTTGGAAAGGGGAAATGGGAAAGACCTATAAGAGGAACTCTGCATATGTTTCTGTACATCCTGTCCAGAGACATAATTATCTTGCTAGATGATCTTGAACAAGTCCCTGGGTTGGATCCCACCTAGATTTTCATGGGTACAGGGGAAAGCATTTTTCACCTATTTCCCCCCCCCCTTTACTGGCAATCCTAAACACCCCCAATACTACTTCTGGAGGATGGGGGGTCCCCCAGGAATAACTGGGAGGCGGAGAATTGGAGGACAACCGTGGGAAGGAAGACTGGTAAAAATTGCCTTTCTCCTTGCACCTGTAGATGCCTCTATTTCTCTGCCTTAAATTCTTGCCTGTGGTAGAAATAATAGCTTGGATATTGTTATAGAAGAGATTGGATAAGGAGAATGAAATACAAAACCTTATACACTAAGAATGGTATATAGAGATTAAAATTTTATTTTACACACATATATACTCTTTGGGGAGGCCTTATTTAAAATATTGTGCCTATAGATATTTTTCTTTTACTTCAGAATATTAATAATTGTTGGTTTGTTTTTAAATTTCAGAGCCATTCTGCAGAATAATTGGAATGAAGTAATGGATTTAATACTAAAGCCACGTCCTGGAGGCAAGCATTAAATCATACATAGATTTCATTGAGTACTATATAGGGAAGCATGTGGTAACGAGTTAATAGGAGCACTTTAAAGTATGTTGTAGTTGCGTGCTTGTTTTTTGTTTTTGAAATCAGTGATATATGTGATTCCAATCGAATTTCAACATGTTATCCACAAATAACTTAAAAGGCTTTAGTCCCCTAAAGTTAAGTAAAATAATTAGTATAATTGGATGCAACTCTGTTAAAATTAAGATCTGCCCTATCCTAAAACTTTAAGGTATGATAGCAAATGTGGTGGGGGATTCATATTAAAAAGGTGAGAATTTGAGTTGTTAAATAAATTTCCTCCCTCCAAGCCAGCTGAAGAAGAAATGGGGTCTAAGGATAAACTCACAGGTTTATGGAACCCTCAGACAACCGACTGTCTTTGCAGTAAACCTGGTACCTGAGTTTATTGTGCAAAGCATACATGAAAAGAGGCTGAAACTAAACTAAGCTAAGTGGATTGAGATATACAGCACATTTGCCATGTTTCAAAAGATTAATTCAAGTGTAGCAAAGTTCTGAAATGAAGCTTCAGCATATCATGTAATATTGTAATGCTTATCATTGTCTTATGCCTGGGCGTTTCTGATGTAATGTTTTAAAACCACAAACATTTGTGCAAGGTAAAAATGTTAAACTTCAAATTGTCATTGCAGCTGAAAAGGGATACTTGGTTAAGTGCCGAGAAGAGTGGGCAAAAACGAAGGACCCAGCTGCTGCCCTCAGAAAACTGCCAGTGAAAAGATGTGTGGAAGGCCAGTTGCTACGGGGACTTTCCAAGTACGGACTGAAGAATATCATCTCTGCCTTTGGCATAGTGAGTGTGGCTTGTGGTGATCATCTGAGAGACACCTTTGAACGTATCTGGAAAACAACTTGGTGGTTGAAGTCAAATTTAGATACAACAGAAAGCAACCCACCAGAATGTTTTGCCATGAGATGTCCATTTTCCCTCCTCTTAGTATTTTAAATAGCCTTTTAAATAAAGGTTTGATAGTTCTGGTACGGAAAGCTAAATGAAATGTTTATGAGATACATAAACACAGGAGAATACAAAGTTCTGAATTGTGAGAAGAAGTTCTTCTCCATCCACGGAGGAAGATATCCTGGTACGGGTTGTGCCTCCTCCTTGCTTCGTGTGCACAGCATATGTACATTTTTTTGCAAAGCTTCCCACTATCCTGTGGGAGGTGCTCAACTTCCCAGTCCATGCCCTGCCCACTCTGTGGACAGATGAGCTTCCACAGCTCTCCCACCTCACTTATTAAAAATGCAGGCAAAAGTATCTTTAAAAATCACCAGCCTCTCCATAAATGTGCAGCGGCAGCAGAGAAAGAGTATATGATTCTGTCCCGGATGGAACAGTGCCCCAAGGCAGCAGCAGTTTGGCTGCTCCAGCACTAGCCTCTGCAACAACAGTGCCTGTTCTTCAGCTGCTGCTCTCCCCTGCCAAAGCACTGGCAAGGACAGAGAGCGGACAGCCAGCCTGCTCCCACTCCAAAGTACTAACACTAGATGGGCCTATCGATGGAGCCACCTACAGCTCTTCCGACGACAACAAAAGTACTGCTGCTGCTGTTGCTGCTTTTTGCCCTGCCAAAGCACCAGCAGGGGTGGAGAGCAAACAGCAGCCCCCTTCCTGCTCTGAAGTGCCAGGTTTCTTCCGACCACAACAAAAGTACTGCTGCTGCTGTTGCTGCTTTTTGCCCTGCCAAAGCACCAGCAGGGGTGGAGAGCAAACAGCAGCCCCCTTCCTGCTCTGAAGTGCCAGGTGGACAGGCCAGTCAACAGAGATATCTACGGCTCATCTGAGCTCAGGTCTTTCACCCCATCAACTACACAAGGCCTGGGGGCCCTGGCAAGTACTAATGGTGAAAGGCACTCCTGACCACCTTCCTTAGCTGCAGGAAGGGACTCCCAAGGCAAGCGGGGCTCTCCTTTTTCCTCCCCACCATCATCTTCAACAGGGCTTCACTTACCCAGCCCTCTGTCCCTACATTATGTCTGAGCATGAAGGATGTTAAGTGTGATCTGAGGAGGAAAAGGCATGAAGAAAGAAAAGGGAGGGAAGAGCTATGCCGTAGATGGAGGGACAGATTTCCCTTCTTCACCTTCCCTTGCCCACCTTCCCTTGTCCACAGATGCAGCCATTCCTCTGAGGAGCCTGGATCCCAGAACTACTCACAGGAGCAGCCATTTTAGCTCTTCCTCTAGGCCAGTAAACCATGAGGCCAGTACTACACAGACCTCACTTGAGCCCTTGAGATCTGCTACATTGAGACTTCAGGCATTCAAAGTAGCTTCTCATGCCCTCAACTTCAGCAAGGAAGGCTTCAGAGCTGTCTTTCCTCTGGCTCAGAGATGACCTTATGCACTAACCCAGCTTTCTTGCCATCTGTTAACTCTTTGTTCTGTCTTCAATCTGTAGTGATCCCAGCCATCCTATGGAACGGGTCTAGCATAAGTTAGATGTCTGAGGAACTCCTCATACTTATCTAAGAGGTTAACTGCCTTCATATCTCTGGATTCCTATTGATCACCTCCTTACCCAACAACAGAGGAAAGATGGCATCATTGTAAAACATATCCAGATGCATCAGCACATGCATTTCCCTGGCTTACGACAGTCAGCATCTCCTGTTCACCTCAAAGGTTACTGCTTTTTTTTTTTTTGGCTAGAGTGGCCACTACATATGCAATGCTCTCCACCAGTGTATCCATTACATGCATAGGTAGGACAGTGACTTGTGCTTTAGCTTCTCTCTTGATGAGGCACTACTAACTAAACAAGTTTGCCTCAGTTTTGGCTTTTTTTGACAGAATTCTCCTCAACAAAGTAGTTCATTAATGAATCCCCTTTCATTTTTCCCTATGTGGGATAATAGAGCTTTTCAATATCCTGTATAATGATACCTTCCTCCACTGCTGGAGGATGAAACTTTGGACTTACTGGTTTCTTCTCATCAGTGGACTGGAAGGTATTCTTCCCCACTCCAGTTGGTGAAAGAGGAATTGGAAAGGAATTCTCTAAGTCGAAAGGGACAGTATTAGGGTTTTTTCTTGCCTATTTTTCAGCCTTATAGTGATCTCCACTGACAGGTCTTCAGGGAGAATTCTCTCTTATGTGATTGTAACACCAGAAGTCAATCTGTCTCCACTGGAAGTTTAGAAAGACGAACTGGGGAGTCAAGTGTCTCCTCAGGATAGTGGAAGCCTTTGCAAAAAAAATTGCATATGCCCCACCCACAGAGCAAGGAGGAGGCACAACACATATAAGGATACCTTCCAATCCACTGATGAGAAGAAATCTTCACAGTAAGTCCAAGTGTTTTGTTCTCCTGGAAACAAGTGTTCTTCTCATATTAAGATATAACTTATAACCAAAGAATCATCTGACTGGCATACAAATGCTTTCTATTACCTGAGTTGTAACTATATAACTTCCATTTGTATACAGCGTTCATGGTTGTAGAAAAGAGCAAAAAAAGAGCAAGCACCTGAAAGACTAACAAAATATGTAGCAGGGTATGAGCCTTCATGAGTCATTGCTCACTTCTTCAGATACCATGGTCCATGGCTGAATAACCTTTTTATTCCCCTTGACACAGATCCCAAGAAATAATCGTCTGATGTACATTCATAGTTATCAGAGTTATGTGTGGAATAATATGGTGAGCAAGAGAATAGAAGAATATGGACTCAGAGCAGTGCCAGGGGATCTTGTACTGAAAGGAGGTAAAGTTTCAACACTGTTTCACATTAGGAGCATGCAGCAGACAGTCTGTAAGACATTTTGGTATAGCCTACTGACCATTTGTTAGGTTAAAACTCTTAAGAGCAAACTGCTATTGCAGAGTTGACTGAAAAATTCAAATGGATCCAAAATAACTTCTAAAGTTCAAAATAGGTTCACATTATATAAGTTCAGTGGGCTGCATCTGAGAGCAGAGCGCTGCTTGTGAAAGAGGCCACCCCATCTGCCCTTGAAGGGCATGGGACTCTTGAAAATGGAAGGGGGAGAGGGAAACTGGTGGAAATTGCCTCCCCCCTCACCTTTTGTGCCAGCTCCTACTTTGTTCACACAAGGCTTGGGGGGAGGCCACTTCCCCCTTCCCACTGCAGCTTTCCACCATTCCTAAGACCCCCCTGCCCTCAAGAATGCATGCGGGAGCACTGTATGTTAAATTAAAATTAATAAAGACGATTAAAAAAAAAGAATGCATGCGGGGGAGTGGCCATACTGGATCCTGTGGAAAGAAAAGGAAGGCACCACAAATCTCTTCTGCAATTTTGCTAATAGTTGTCTGGGTTCAATCCGATTAAAAAACCCTCCAGAATAGTAATTGTTTTACAATTCATGTGACTTCTAAGTAGTCTTGATGACATGGATAAGATTGATCAGGAAGTCAAGAAGAATCTGATATATATTAAAAGCCCTAATGTATTGACACTTTCCAGCTCTCCCATTGGCTGTTCTGTACACTGCATCGGCCATTAACCCGTCAACTACCACTCAAGTACTTGCGTGCCATTGGCTGGGTGCTGGGTCCGCTTCTCTCGCCTGCCCACTGCCAGTCTGGCCAGTCTTCCCTGTCAGAATAAACTGCCAAAATGGCTGTCTCTCCTGACAAGAACGCTTCTTCTGCTTAGCCCTCTGCAGCTGGCTGACTACTGATGAGGGCCACCAGCCGTCAAACCATTCTCTTTCTCCTCCTGCTAACTTTTCACCCAGTGGCTATTGCTAGGCAAGCAAGCTTGGTTCTGGCAGTAAAAAGACAAAGGCAGGAGGCCCTTTCCAGGCCTCCTTTTGGCCTTTGTGGGGAACTCATTGGGGCCGTCCTGACTAGGGTTGTTAGCTCCAGGTTGGGAAATTCCTGGATATTTTGTGGTGGGTTTCGAAGAGGTAGCGGAACTAGAGATCAAATTGCCAACATTCGCTGGATTATGGAGAAAGCAAGGGAGTACCAGAAAAACTTCTGCTTCATTGACTATGCTAAAGCCTTTGACTGTGTGGATCACAACAAACTATGGCAGGTCCTTAAAGAGATGGGAGTACCAGACCACCTCACATGTCTCTTGAGAAACCTGTGTAAGGGTCAAGACGCAACAGTTAGAACCAGATATGGAACAACTGATTGGTTTAGCATAGGAAAAGGAGTACGACAAGGATGTATATTGTCACCTTGCTTATTTAATATATATGCAGAGTACATCATGCGAAATGCTGGCCTGGATGAATCACAAGCGGGAATTAAGATTGCTGGGGAAAAGATCAACAACCTCAGATATGCAGACGATACCACTCTAATGGCAGAAAGTGAAGAGGACCTAAGGAGCCTCTTGCTCAGAGTAAAAGAGGAGAGCGCAAAAGTGGGCTTGAAGCTCAACATCAAAAAAACTAAGTTCATGGCATCTGGCCCCATCACTCCTTGGCAAATAGAAGGGGAAGCTGTGGAAGTAGTGACAGACTTCACGTTCCTGGGATCCCAGATCACCGCAGACTGTGACTGCAGCCATGAAATTAAAAGACGCCTGCTCCTTGGGAGGAAAGCGATGGCGAACCTAAACAGCATGATAAAAAGTAGAGACATCACCCTGCCAACAAAAATACGCATGGTCCAAGCAATGGTATTCCCAGTAGTCATGTATGGCTGCGAGAGTTGGACTATAAGGAAGGCCGAGCGCAGAAGAATAGATTCTTTTGAACTATGGTGCTGGAGAAGACTCTTGAGAGTCCCTTGGACTGCAAAAAGATCAAATCAGACAATCCTAAAAGAAATCACCCCTGACTGTTCCCTGGAAGGCCAGATAATGAAACTGAAGCTCAAATACTTTGGCCACCAAATGAGAAGGGAGCACTCACTGGAGAAGACCCTGATGCTGGGAAAGATTGAAGGTCAAAGAAGACGGGGACGGCAAAGGATGAGATGGTTAGACAGTGTCA